CTTCCTCCAACAGTTCAATGTCCTTCTTATGTTGAGGCCACCAGAACTGCACACAGTATTCCAGGTGGGTCCCACAAGAGCAGAGTAGAGGGGAAGAACACCTCGCCTGACCTGCTGCCCACACTCCTTTGGATGCAGCCCAGGATTGAGTTGGTTTCTGGGCTGAGCTCACACTGCAGCTCATGGGGAGCTTCTCATGCACTCAATTCCTCCTCCACCCAACCTGTAGCTGTGCCTGGGATTGCCATGGCCCAGATGTAGGACCTTGCACTTCATTTTGTTGAACTCTATAAGGTTTGCATTGTTCCACCTCTCAAGCCTGTCAAGGTCCCTCTGGATGTCCCATCCCTTCCCTCCAGCTGTGACTGTCCCACACAGCTTGGTATTATTAGTGAACTTGCTGAGGGTGCACTCAATCCAATGTCCATATCACCGACAAAGATGTTGAACAGTATTGGCCCCAGCATCAACCCCTGAGGGACACCACTGACCTGAGGGACACCACTCCTCATTGGCCTCCACATGGACACTGAGCCACTGACCACAGCTCTCTGTGTGTGACTGTCCAGCCAGTTCTTTACCGACCGAGTGCTCCACCCATCAAATCCAGGTCTCTCCAATTTAGAGACAAGGATGTCGTGTGGGACAGTGTCAGAGATGCAGGTTGAAGCAAAGTTGAGGAGGCCCAGATGGCACAGAACAAGGCCACATCTCTCAGCTCCAGGAGAGAGGATACTCTGACATTTGCAGAGTATCAACACCTCACCATTTTTGTTTGGTGTTCAGTAGTACACAGTGATGCCACAGCAGTGCTGTGATGCTGTTTTTCATGGTGCAGGATCACACAGAGCAATCCATGGCAAAACATAGCTAGAGGCATCCTGGTGTCATGGTTTAACCTCGGCCACAAGCCAAGAGCCACACAGCCACTCACACTCCCTCCTTCTCCCTTCCCCTGCCCTGGTGGAATGAGAAGGAGAAACTGGAATAAAATATATAGGTTGAGATAAGAACAGTTCAATAATGAAGAACAAAATGAGATAAAATACTAATGGATAGTAAGAAGAGAAAGAAACACCAAACACCAACAAAACCAAATCAGTGATGCACAATACAGTTGCTCAGCACCCCGGACCAATGCAGCCCCTGTTCCCTAACAGGGGCCCCAGATCAGCCCATGGCGAATTCTCCACTAGTTATATCCTGGGCATGATGCTCCATGGTGTGGAACAACCCTTTGGCCAGTTCAGGTCAGGCTGTACTCCCTCCCAGTTCCTTCTGTGCACCTTCTCACTGGCATAGCATGAGACATGAGAGAGAAAACATCCCTGATTTAAGCTAAACATCACCTAGCAGTAATCAAAACCTCAGTGTGTTATCAACATGATGCTCACTCTGAATCCAAACACAGCACTGTGCCAGCCAGGGAGAAGGAATTAACTCCATCCCAACCAAA